CCGTTATTTCATTTACCTTTCTGCTATCGAGACACACTTTGCCTGCCTTTTGCCAGTAAGACTGGCGAGGTGCATGGACTGTCGGACTTCTCAATAACATCAAGTTTTAGCATCCCTCGGCATAAAGCAATTTCTGAATTGCGGAATATACCGTGAAATGTCTGAATATACCGTATCTGAATATAATATCTTCTTCCTCATACTCAAATGCATCGTTCATCTTCTCCTCCAACACTTACTCTGCCACTCGCATTTTAAATGGCATCATCTTCTGGTAGCCATGAGGTTTTCTAACTCGTTCTAAAACCACTCTCATTTCCAGAAAACATCGCGAGGATATTCCATAGACGTCAGTGAAATATTAAATATTTCGTGTTAGATTGCGTGCCTTAGATTAGGACGGACAATTTTTATGAGTGTTTTTTCGGACATGGGCTGATCTAATCGGTCCTCTAGCTTTAAAATAGCATCATAATATGTCTCATAGGATTTCTTTCTCTCTCTGCTTTCTATCTCATCATTTAGAGGATGTCAACATCCGTTCTGGAGTCCCTGAACTGCTTCCTTAGGGCCGAACATAACTCTTGCCAGCGTACTACTCCCACAGCTTTATGATGCCGCCAAAAAAAATCTGCCGCTTTGCCTTCAAACAAGGTCTTTGCATTGATGCACAAGAGAGAAAAATTACCCTCAAGTGTCTGGTGGGTTAGGGCTTCTACTCTGTAGATAATGTTGTCCACCCTCAAAGTATCACCAACACCAGAAAACCGCAGTTTCCAGTTGTTCATTATGTGGTCTACTTTTTTGGGCCTCTGAGCCAAATCGGACACATTTGACCTATTAGACATTTGTCGAGTTGTTGGCGGCTGAACTTCTTCCTCTGCAGGCATGAAAATACCTTATCTAAGCGAGCATTTTGCCCATCTTGGTTTGATTGTTGAAAATTTTCCTGCCCTCGCCCTAAATCAGCTTCAATGTTAGTCGGAATAAGACTTTCTTTCTTTTCTGTTAGCCGCGTAAGCAGCTCGTTTTGAACAGCTTTAACACCGGCTGCAATCTCAGCACTTGATGTACTCATTTCTTCCGTTGATTGACCCTGACTTAACCCTGGACGATCGTCTGAAATATTTTCTAAATTTGCCGTACTGTTGGAAGCGAGAGTGATACAAACAATGCTTGTTACCGGGTTTTAACAGAAACATTGGTTGGCTGAGATACTTTCTGTGGAATACACTCTCTTTTACAAAGTGGGCAATTTGTTGTTGAGCCATGAATTGGGTCTTATTATTACAAGTGGCTTGGAGGCGTTACTGCGAACAACACATACTATTTTCAGCTCGCTTTTTATAGCCATTGAAGAGATGGAATAAAATCAAATGAAAAAATGAAACGCATGTTATACGTGGTCAGCGGTTTATAGCCAATCCCACTGAATCCCTATGCATCTAGTCAAGCTATCCCATTTAACTTGACATTAAACCAAATCAAACCCACATTATTTCTTGGTCAAACTAGCCTCTTTAAAGACGCTTCGTTTGTCGTCAAAAAAAAAATGTAGCAATCAAATTACGGCTGAAGGATGGAAATTATTTACTCAATCGAAGCTTTGAGAATATTAAAGTCTTGAGAAATGAATTGAAAAGCAAAGAAAAGCATAGAAAATTTCATACGTAAATTGTGTGTGTCTAGAATGGCCTAATCCCAAAATCCCATGGGTGCTAAAAATAACACAGTGTATGTAACACCCTCAAAATCTTGATTTTTTTAGAAAAACAGTTTTTTGGGACTTTTTTGGGCTTAAATTTCTAATTTAATTTTGAAACGATTTTAAAGTTTCCGAGGTTTTTAAATAGTTAAGTGTTGCTTGTAGTAGCTTTTACTAAGTTTATCATCAAAACACGAAAGTTGGGTCATTTGCGATCGTTCAATTATATGGCAGCTACAGGATGCAGTCGGCCGATCCTTATAAAATTCGTCATGTCACATTATTTTACTAAAAAATATCACTCATGCAAAATTAAACTCTCTAACTCTAAAAACACCAAAGTTAAACCATTTGCGATCAATCAGTTCCATGGCAGCTGTTGGATATAGTCGGCCGATGCCGGCCGTTCCGACTTATAAACTGCGTGCAAAGGAAAGAAGGGTGTGGCAAAGTTTCAAGTGTGGCAAAGGCACGGCCGACTCGGTACCCCAATACATTGATATGATTTTAACGCATTAGTATTAGTAGCGAATAGCAGAAAGTAGGCTGTGAGCATGACGTTTCACACATTTATACTGTGTGTGTGTGTGGCAGAGCTCGGGCAGAGAAATTACCTATGCCCGCGGGTAGGTCCGTTTTTTAATATTAAATACCACAGAAATCGCTTTCAAAAAAGTTGATTATATATTACTGCGGACGGCAGTCCTTGGGTGCCGAGGCAAGCAAGCCTTCGCGTGCGCGTGTAGACATTAAATATAAAGACGAAGGATTGAACATTTTCTACTTGCGTTTGATCTTAATTGATGATATACCAATGGAAAGGTATTGCTTTTATTATATAATTTTTATCAAAACATTTCCCAAAAGTGGATAAGTTTCGAAGAAATTTGAGAAAAGTAAAGGGATTTACTAAATTAATTCACAAAATTAGAGCTAGGGAGAACATTTGAGTCTACAGACAAATTTTTGTATATACCAACTTTTTAGTTTGAATAAGGATCAGACAATCTATTCAAAGATCCAAAAAGAACATCTTTTTTAAAAAGAATCATCTTTTCATCTTTCACACAGAATCACATCTTTTTTTTTTTCCCCCTCACAAAAAAAATATTAGAACCAAAGAAAAGAAATATACGGAAAATAATTTTTTTTAACTTTTACAAAGCTTATTTTTTAATATTGGCTTCAACGATTTGAAAAATTTTACTGTTGGAGATGACCTTTAAGATGACGCATTTTTGATGTATCACTTATACATATATGGGCAATTCTTTGATGTCAAAAGCGACATTTGTACTCAATCAAACTGAAAAAAAATGTGCATAGCTATTTTTTTTTTTCTAAATGCGAATCTTAAAGCTCTTGGTTAACACTATAATTTGTGCTAAGATAGATTTTGGGCAATTGTTTATCATCAAGATAATCATAATGTGAGGCATTCGCATGCGACAAACTTTAAAAAAGTTCCAAACTCGAATTGCTGCTTATATGGAACCAAATTTTTTTTTAAATTTGTTTAGCGCCAAAATATACGTTTGGGCACGATATTTGATGCCCCTTTGACAAAAACCTTGAATGCACTGATAACAAATATTCTTTTTCACTGTCGAACGCGACATTCGTAAAGACAAATAAGCTCATAAGAAATTCGCCCTTATTAGTAATCGCATCGTTTGTTTTACATATTTTTCATATTCTTTGAATATAAATGAGGATTTAGAAAAGCGAATATCAATGCTCAATGACTCTCTATAAGAAAATTATTCAAAACAAAACGAGCATTAGAAACGCCCCAAGCAGAACTTTCGCACTTGGTCTACTTTGTATTGAAATATTTCAAAATGTGTTATGAGTAAACATAAAATTGGCTTACATTAGTTACATTTAATAAATGCATTGCACGAATATGCGAAAAAACATAGTTTTATGAACTTTGAATTTTTTGGCTGGGGTTGACCTTTTTGGAGAATTGACCATATATACATATATATATCACGCCATATATACATACATGGAGTTACCAATGCACTTTAGGAAATTTGACCGCTTTTCTTAGACAAAAAACATATTTTGAATGTTTAATTATGCAAATAATTTTAAGTGGAAAGTATTTACAATAGAACCACTTTAAATGTTTCGTTTAAGAAATTCCCAAAGATGGCGCCACTTTAAAGCTATCGGCTATAAAAGACAGTCCATTTTTCCGATAGAAAAATAGATGACCATAAATGTACTCAAATTTTAATACAATAAAATTTTATTTGCTGCAGGGGAAAAAACTAAGTAGTGAATGAGTTAAATTAAGTGTTGCGTATATAATGTCTTGGATAATGAAGTGAAACTTTAGTAACCTAGCAAACTTTTTTAATACCCTTGTAGAGAGTATTATAATTTTGTCCAAAAGTGCGCAACGCAGTGAAGGAGATAACTCCGATCGTATAAAGTATATATATTCTTGATCAGGATCAGCTTCTGAGTTAATATGAGCATGTCTGTCTGTTTGTCTTTGCACACACCCTTTTTGAAAGTTGAAACTTTGAATAGATTCTATTTTTGGTCAGTTGCTCCGACCTACCAATTTTATAATGATCGGCCGACTTTATCTTATAGCTGCCATATAAGATTTGGTATTTTTCAAAATAGAAGCTTCACACTTTTTTTTAGATTTTGTATTGTAATAAACTGGTAATACCCCGGCCAACTATATCCGAGGTTTGCGATATATATCCTGTTTTAACTGCAAGGGTATATCAACTAAGCCTCCGCCTGATTTCAGCTCTGCCCGAAAAAAAGCTAAGCTAAATCTAAAATAAAGCTAAATCAACACAGAAAAAATACGTAAGGCTAGCTTATATTAATTATTTTTTCTCATTATTAAATTAATTGAATTTTAAGATTAACTATCTATGTACACAAAAAAGGCAGGTAATAACAAATAAAAAAGGCCTCTTCAAGTGGTAAAATAACGGTGAAGAACCCGCAAGCCATGCCCAAAATATCTGATATTTCTTTTTGTGAAGAAAAAATTAAATATAGGTACATATTACACATTATAAAACCTCAAATTGAACGAATACGAATAGAATCAATAATTTTGTTTGTTTCATATTATAATTTAAAATTAAACCTACCTTAGTACTAAATAAAAAATTATTACGGTTTTGTAAGCTTTACGGTAATATTTTTTCTTCATATTGAAAAATTGTCATATATAATTAAGTTTATTAAATAAATTTAATTTAACAAGCTTTACAAATAATCATAATTTGTACGGATATTAATAAATATAATGTAGTGCTGATGGTAACTTCGAAGTGACTCTTGCAACAAAAGCCACAATTTACTCTGAAGGATTAGTTGAATGGAAGCCTCCTGCAATATACAAATCATCATGTGAAATAGATGTAGAATATTTCCCATTTGACGAACAAACCTGTGTTCTTAAATTTGGCAGTTGGACTTATGATGGGTTTAAGGTAGGTCTGCTAATGTCCGTAAAGCTTATTTTTGTTTGATATTGATACTTTTTTTTCACTTTTTTTTTATAATTATTGCTTATTATATAATATCACACTTCAGTAAATTTTTTCAAACAAAATAATGTAAATAAATTTTAAGATTTCTTTATATAAGCATATTCTATGCTTCACTTTCAAAGAGCATTAAAACAAAAAATTTATTATGGACATGTATTGTATGAACGTCTATTCCTAAATAATTATAAAAATTAATACAAAAGAAATACACATTTAAAAAATATGTCTTTTCCGTTTTTATTTAGGGTATATTTCCTATAGACTGTGGTGCCTTTCAAATCGCAAAAAATTCAAAATTCTTCAATTACTATAGGTTTCTGTTTAAATTGGTGTCGAAGTGGCTTTATTGCACATTAGAGGTTATTCTGATGTATGCGTTTTTTAATAGTTTCATAGCATTTCTTATAATTTTTTTTTTTTTTTTTTAAAGTAGGGACTCCAAATAACAATTATAAGTTTGAAAATTTATAAAAAAAAAAAATTTCATCAATTATTATTAGAAAAATCAAAAATAAAAAATATTATTGATTTTTATAAGCTTGCAGAGGGTATCATAATTTTGATCAAAAATGTGCAATGCAGTGAATGAGACATCTCCGACCCTATAAAGCAGTGGTGGGCAAACTCTCATTTTACATAGCACGCGAGTATAGGGTAGGAAATTCTGCCGCAGCGCTGCCGGCACACTGACAGTGTGAGCACTCTCTCAAATATTTTTTAGAACTCTCTCATTTGCTCTCATTTTGATTCATTTGACAGCACAAATTAAAAATCAAAATGTTTCCACTGAGAAAAATTTTCTCAGAAATTGGGTTGGAAAAAGTTTTGTCCATAGAAAATATAGATAGAGAAGCGTAGCTTTTCATTTTTTTTTTTTAACTCTGGCTAGCAAAGCTTTCTTTAAAACAAAATACACTATTTTAGTGCCCATTCCAACTTTTGAAGTTGTTCGCTCAGTGAATTCTCTGCTCTCATTGTTTTTCTCTGTTACGCACACACTCAAATTTTAAACATGTGTTAGTTTTGCCCACCACTGCTATAAAGTATATAATAATATGTATTACATATGTATATTCTTGATCAGCATCACCTTAGAGCTGCATAAACATCGATGGTAGCCCCATCGATAGTTTTGATAGTTTTCGGAATAAACCTCGATACTATCGCGATACTATAGCTCAAATATAAACATTTGGGGTATTCATGTAAAACCAACATACCTAAAATAATTTTTTTTAAGGGAATACCCCTATTATATTGGTTTTACATGAATACCCCTGTTTTAATTAAAAACGCATTCAGTTTTAGTTCAAACGAGATCTTTTTATTTCATATTTGGCAGGAAAAAATTATATTACATTTCTTTGGTTAAAAACCAATTTTTGTTTACGAATAACAATTTGTTTACGGTTTTTGGGCTTTAGGGACGCCCATCGGTCACAGATTGTTAGGCCCGCTTTGGAAAAAAACCTTTCCGATTCTGTCGAAGTTGCGTGAATGCAGAGCCCCTGCTTAGCGCTTATAGCCAGTTGGGGCATCTCTAATTCATGTGGCTGCAATTATAAAAATTTTAAAGAATAGTACTTTTAGCTATTATTAACTTACCTTCCAGTACTCCAATGGGTCCTGATTTTCATCAATGTTCATTTTTTCAAAATACTGCCTTATTTGAATTATCGACTCAACTTTGCTAGACCTCTGTTTAAGCTCTATGTTTTGCTTTACAAAATTGAGGAGCGAAGATTTCGGTTTTGGTGGTTCCGGTGGTTAGGTGGTTAAAATGGGTTCCTTGTTGGTATGGGGTAGAGAAGAAAGTGTTTTTTCTAGCAGAGATACGGCTTGCTCCGCATTAAACGGGGAACCTGAAACCCTCTTTTTTAAACCGAGGGTCTAAAATTGTGGCCAACCGAGTGGAGGACCTTTCTTCAAAGGGAAAAAGACGTTTTTTACACTTTTTAATCAAAAGTGCACACAGTTCCTCGCCTTCTTTGGTTTTTAAATTCTCTCTTATTTCGTGTAAACTCTACACAAGACCATTCGATATGGGAATAACGGATGATACTGTTACTTTTGTACACGAAGATAATTGAGTGGTTACTTCATTGAATGGAGCCAGCACGTCTTTCAAATCTTCCAAGACCGCAACATCGTCTGCAGCCAGGGGCTCCGGCGTCTTGGACAAACTACCATTTTAAACGCGCTGTTCCAGCGGGTACATACCTCTTGTATTAAGCTGTACGGCTTGTCGACTCCTTGCGCTTTTTTAAACTTCTCGTATGCGATAGTGCTGCATTTAAAAAATGTGACAATACGCTTGCACTTAGTCAAAATCGTTTGAATAGAGTTTAGAGAAAGCGAGTCCTGTACAACAAGATTTATGAAATGCGCGTAACATGGCAGATGTCTCTTTTCCAGCAGCTCACAAGCCTTTATCATGCTGCTAGCATTATCTGTTACAATTGCGCAGACTTTTGGCAACAAATTCCAGCTAATGAGTTTTGCGCGCACTGATGATGCGATGTTTTCAGCAGAATGGTTTGTTGCACATAGGAGTGGCTGCGTTGACAATACTGCCGATCTCAGCTGGAACTTCTCAATAAAGTGCACGGTAATGGTCAAATATCCTGTATTTGCCTTGCTAGTCCAGCAGTCTATAGTAACTGCGCACTGATCGACTTTGACAAGGATGGTCTGCAGTTTTACTCTCATCTACGCGTAAATGTTTTGCACGTTTTGCAAAGTCGTGCGTGACGGCAAAGTATAGCGCGGGTCCAACACTTTCACGAAGTATCTAAAGCCTTCGTCATCCACAATATAGAACGGTTGTTTATCCTTGGCAATCATCTGCATCAACGCCGTGTCAAGGTTTGCTTTTCGCTCTGACTTGCTGTCGTACTCATTGTTGTTGAAAAATTTTTTGACAGTCGCTTGTGTTGTCTCTGAATTCTATTTTTGCCGAATTGATCCGACCAAACTATATTATAAACAATATAATTATACAAATTTAAACAAACAATAATATATTGTTATATATTATATAACTGCCGTTAATCTAAACGATATATCAACTTCGGCTCCGCCTATAGAAACTTGGTTTTTTCAGAACAAAGAAGTTTTTTCCGGTGACGAAGACTACCGGCAATGTAACAAGACTACCGGCAACGGCAGCTACGCAGTTTGCATGGTACCGTGATTCAACCGAACACCATTTTTAACGTACTCAAGGTTTCAACAGTAAACCACTTTCAATCATTCGAACACATTCAATATCAATTTACATCATTAAGGGATGAGTTGATCCGCACACTGCATCAAAAAAAATCGACACACTAGATTCAGATCCATACTGATCCAACTAACCGACATTCTTAGAAGAAAATCCTGTAACAATACAGTATACCTCTGTCACCGCTTTTTCTAAAGAGCGGCCACCTCACCTTCCGTTCTGTTACCAACTGCCTAACTGCCAACACATTCCCTAAGAAATACATACATTCTTAGATTCTGGATTGCAGGTTAATTTCTTTCGTATAACGAAACCACAACCAAATTCATGCCGTTCTGGATGGCAGCTGTAGTAAATGTCACAGTTCTTTTTCTTTATGCAGCCTTGTCCTATCCATCGCATTTCCTGGATAGCAGTGATGTCAGCCCTACATTTGTTGAGGGTATCTGCTAGTTGTTGAGCAGCACCAGGTCTGTACAATGTTCGTACGTTCCAGGTGCATACTCTCAAATCATTGTCCTTTTTACGCTTGCTATGGTCGTCAACGTTAGATCGGTTCCTTTCCGAGGCTTCTCTTGCTTCCTTCACTGAAATTGTGTTTTACATGGGTGGATTTCAAGTCCTACGCCACAACCTAGTTTGTAGAGTTAGGACTATCGTCGCGCGCTTTAGTTTGCCACACAACTGTCGAGCGACAATCCAGGGAGAACCACGTGGAGGTAGTGCGTCGGCTTGAAGAAAGCAGTGACAGGAATTATGCTGGCACTCACCAAGGTGAGTGCAATCAGACCCTTTGACCTGTATGCTTTCCCCCATTCTCCCCAATACAATTCATGCACCAAGGATTATTCTACCTGCATTGCGGTTACTTTTAACATAAAACGCAAACTAAGCTCCTAATAGTGAAACAAGTCCCCAATAAGCCCCGAATGCCTATTAGCGATAGGAAGATTGTTAAATCTCCGAAAATAAGTGGGCAAAACAATTAATAGGTTCGTTATTCTAAGTGATGTCGACGAGTAAAATGAAACAGTAGATCAAAAACGCACCCACTAAAGGCAAACCTTATTTAGGCGATAACCAAAAGTTGAACTAATATACATATCAACTAAAGATCAGCAAAGGACTGCAGGTGGTCAACAAAATAATCAAACCAACAGTCCCCATTAATGAATTTATTGAAATTTAAAGTGTAAATGGTTATAAACATATTCAATAGATACAAATTACTTCAACCAATGTTAAAACCGGAACTCGAGACCGGCAGAATTTCCATAAAAAAAAAAACAATTAAATAGACCCAATCACAAGCTGCAATGTCTGCTGCATCCCAATCTACCAATCCAATCAGGTAGAACCAATCTACAAGCTGCGCAAACTGCCAGGAATACGGCTACCGAAAAAATTACTTAACTTTACGGACAGTCTGCGTCGCTTGTGAGAGATATACACATACAGTCTTAGTTCGCTACCCAGTCTTTCTACAAGAAAAAAAACTCTAACAATATACACATCAGGTGGTGTTGGATTCCTTTAAAAGCGGTTTTTTGGAGTTTTGCAGCTCAGCGGCAGTACATAGAGCCACTATTAACTTCGAATAAAAAAACTCTTTGGGGAGTGCCTACCCAAGTAGGCAACATTATTGAATAGCGGTAATGCCTATTTAAAATCCTGAATCGCAACACCGAAGTGAACCCATCGTGGTCAGTCAAAA